CTGTCTTTTACGGCCCTGACGAGAACGTCGGTCTCCTCGGCTGTGAACCGCTCCTGGCGTGCGCCTGGCAAATCTGCCATTATAATAGTAATCCGCCATGGAACAAGCGCGCCTGCTTTTAAAGGGAATGTGAGAAGACGAATGTTATTGGTTTATTGCACATTACGCCCAAACCACACCTATGAGTAATGTAGCTACTTCAGACCAACACATTTTAGTTTTGCGTCGGATCCGAGATCCGCCCACAAAGTTACTTGCGTTTCGCGTTTGATACTTGCGTTTCAGATTGTTAAAATAGGGCCCTTGGTCTCAAAGGTACAAACACTGAAAATATTCTTTAGTCTGTGCAGACTGTGCTATCATGTAAACCAGTCTTCATTCACCCCAAAGGAATCATTTAGATCCTCTTCTTTTCTCTCTCTTGATTCGGACTCAACCCTCTTTTTGTCTCGGACTTGATTCAATTCGACCCTCTTCTTGTCTCTGTCTTGAATTCGGACTCAACCCTCTTTTTGTCTCGATCTTGATTCGGACTCAACCCTCTTCTGTTCTCTGTCTTGATTCGGACTCGACCCTCTTTTGTTCTCTGTCTTGATTCGGACTCAACCCTCTTTTTGTCTCTGTCTTGATTCAGACTCAACCCTCTTTTTGTCTCTGTCTTGATTCGGACTCGACCCTCTTCTGTTCTCTCTTGATTCGGACTCGACCCTCTTTTTGTCTCTGTCTTGATTCGGACTCGACCCCCTTCTAGTCTCTGTCTTGATTTGGACTCTACCCTCTTTTTGTCTCGGTCTTGATTCAGACTCGACCCTCTTTTTGTCTCTGTCTTGATTCGGACTCGACCCTCTTCTGTTCTCTCTCTTGATTCGGACTCGACCCTCTTCTGTTCTCTGTCTTGATTCAACTCGACCCTCTTCTGTTCTCTCTCTTGATTTGGACCCGACCCTCTTTTTGTCTCTGTCTTGATTCGGACTCAACCCTCTTCTTTTCTCTCTCTTGATTCTTACTCAACCCTCTTTTTGTCTCTGTCTTGATTCGGACACGACCCTCTTCTGTTCTCTCTTGATTCGGACTCGACCCTCTTTTTGTCTCGGTCTTGATTCGGACTCGACCCTCTTCTTGTCTCTGTCTGGATTCAGACTCGACCCTCTTTTTGTCTCGGTCTTGATTTGGACTCGACCCTCTTTTTGTCTCGCTCTTGATTCGGACTCGACCCTCTTTTTGTCTCGGTCTTGATTCGGACTCGACCCTCTCTGTTCTCTGTCTTGATTCAACTCGACCCTCTTCTGTTCTCTCTCTTGATTTGGACTCGACCCTCTTTTTGTCTCGGTCTTAAATCAACTCGACCCTCTTCTGTTCTCTCTCTTGATTCGGACTCAACCCTCTTTTTGTCTCGCTCTTGATTCGGACTCGACCCTCTTCTTGTCTCTGTCTTGATTTGGACTCGACCCTCTTTTTGTCTCGCTCTTGATTCGGACTCGACCCTCTTTTTGTCTCGCTCTTGATTCGGACTCGACCCTCTTCTGTTCTCTGTCTTGATTCAACTCGACCCTCTTCTTGTCTCTGTCTTGATTCGGACTCGACCCTCTTTTTGTCTCTGTCTTGATTCGGACTCGACCCTCTTTTTGTCTCTGTCTTGATTCGGACTCGACTCTCTCTTGATTCGGACTCGACCCTCTTTTGTCCTGGGTATTTAATCAGACTCAATCCTCTTCTGGTCTCGGTCTTGAATCAGACTCAATCCTCTTCTGGTCTCGGTCTTGATTCTGACTCAATTATTTTCTGGTCTCGGTCTTGATTTGGACTCAATCCTCTTCTGGTCTTGGTCTTGATTCAGGCTCGACCCCCTTCTGGTCTTGGTCTTGACTCGTACTCAATCCACTCAGGTCTCGACTACATCACTGCCCGCTGTAGCTCAGTTATAATGGAACACGTAAACACTTGATGTCATATTTACCCACCCCTAAAAGAAATAAATCAAATTGCTAACTTTCATTTATCCTTTTACATGTCAGACACCTCTTTCTGTCAAAAAGAGCGTTTCCTGAGAAAATAGGCTTATGAAGTGGACCAGACTGCTGATAACAAAAGTCTGGCTTGTGTCAGACTTGTACAGTCTGTTAACCAACAGTACCACACATCAAACCTACCTGTTCTGGTTTGATATCTGTCCAAATCATTTAGTCATCAGTCTTCACATCTGTCCTCTTGTGTTTCCCAGCAGCTGTTATTTCCTGTTTTCCAGTTTTCACATGCCATACACCTGCCAAACACGGCTAGCGGAGCCTGACACGCAATAACTCAGGCAACTGCTGCACATCATTCACGCAGCAATCAGTCTAACCGGACGCTCGTCATTGATCATCTGTTGCGTACACTAGAAAGCAGCCCTCAGGTGTGCACATGCCACTGTTTGCCTTCTATCAGTCATAAAATACCATGTTTATCCTAGCCGCAAGTAAACCCCTATTTAACATATCATTGTTTTTGCGACCCATCTGAACAGCCAAGTTTTGGGTCACAACCTGCCATTAGGGAAACACTGAGATAAATCACATTGAATTGAAACTATAATCTCCAGACGGACTCTGAGATCTTCTGAAATAATTATCCATTTGCTCTGACATTGGTTTCTGTTGTTCGTGTTTGCCCTGTGGCAGTTTCAGAGTAGACTTATGCTGTTTACGTCTCAGTCTTATCGCATAATCACAGCGCCCCAGCCAAGGACTGCAGGCCCACAGGCTAAACCTGATTTAGATAAATAAGACCTGTTAGATGGAGTAGCTTTGCACTACTGAGAAATAAGCCTGTCTCTACGAATAAAACGGTGTGTGTATGTGTCTAGGTGTAGTTGTTTTTGCTTTTGTGTGCTTGCAATTGTATTACATATACATACTTCTTAAAAAACATTTTAAAAACAATTAATGTTCCAAACTTTTGACTGGTAGTGACATATGATGCAGACTTGAAAATGTACTTCATAGAATCCCAGTCATGAATTGCTTTATTTTTAAAACTTTTAACGGTAATTTTTCATTTTAATGCATTTATAAAAAAAATAAAAAAAACAGCATGTGTGTGAGTGCTTATGCTTGTACATCTGCATATTGCTGCATATTGAACTTTTGTGTTGGAGTCATTAGATGGAAGCCAATAATTTTGTTGTGGGCATTTTGTTGGGTCAACACAACTTCTTTTTAATATTATATTCATGGGCTTTAATAAACAAGTGACCTAATTTTTGTTGGCGATAACGCTGAAACAAACATCTCTGGGTATTAGTCAAGCCCCATTGGACAGTAATAATCTGATGAAAAGTGATGTTGAACAGTTATTGTATATCTTGCAGTTTGCCATCGAGGGCGTATGACAAGACTAGACATGATTGCTCTGAAGTCTTTATAGGACAGTAGCCATCTAGAATCGTCTACGGCACTAATTGCACAGCGGCTGATTAGCAATTGTAAGTGGTTGGTGGACGTGCTGTTGATAGGAGAACTGCTGATGGGGTGGTTTTCCTGTTAACCTGGCGGTGTGCTGTACATGGCATAATTAAATTGCCCCATGTCTCCTAACCCCACTGTAATATTAGCAGAGTTTATACAGTCATTCATCAAAAAATCCCTCATCAGAGATGCCGTACAGGACTAGCGGAACCTGCTAAGTTAGCACACAGCTGTTTGTGGCGAGAAGGAAACACTGAGAACAGTCAACGAAACACCTGAAATTTCCTTTCTCAGCATATATAGCTATACTAGCTTACTAATAAGTGCTCTTTTCTCTAGTTGTGATTATTTAGTTGTATAATAATATTTGACTTTGCCTTATCTTACTTGGCTATTACATGGTTTCAATATTTCCACATTAAATATTGATTTTGTGTTTTAGAATTTTTGTGTTCAATATATATATATATTGCATACAGTATACTCCATTTAAAAAAGTTAAATAATTATAATAATAATTATAGTTTTCAATTTCAGTAATTTTTTTGTGTTTTTGAAAGAATTATCTTTATATAAGCTGTAGAATAAGCTGTATAGTATATATATTTTCTATTTTCTATTATATTATATATAAATCAAAAATTTTTAAGTAAAATAATAATAAGAATTATAGTTGTTGTTGTTAGTTAGGTAACTGTTATGTAATTTACCATTTCCATAATTTAAATAATTTTTGTAAATTCTGAAAATTTTAAGAATACATTTAGTACAAATCTTCATATAAGCAAACATACTTAATGATTATTCTGATATATTTTCCCAAATAAAATGATCTTCAAGTTTAAATAAATCTAATGTATTTGGTCAATGAAAACAAATTAAAACTAGATCAATTAGTGCACAGGCTGGCTATACAACTGAATTTATATCCGAGATTAAGAATTTATCGTATTTCTGTATTGTTGTTGATGCGCCCGTACACTAAACCCTGAGAGTTTCCCTCTGACCTCACCTGGAGAGAACTTCAGCTGACCTCTGACCAGCCAGACTCTGATCCTTGCTCTGTGGAGTGATTTATGTGTCTTCCTTCATATCGATCGTCTTCGGCTATGATCAAAGGTACACCTAAAAGCCAGCACTGAGAGAGACCATTATTGTGGATTTGGCTTTGCTCATACATTATTTATCTCCTTGAGCCTGTTCTATATGCCATTATGGACATTATGAAAGAAGGGAGCCACTGCCTCACCGTTTACTTAGTGTAAGCACAGGATGCCGGGACGAAAGATCGGATACAGGGTCATAAAAATGCCATAAAGAGGATATTGAGATGCTCTCCTGCCACAGAATGTGCAACATTCCCTATTGGAAATGCGCCCCTGATTTAGGCAAAGAGAGATGGAGTTGTTTTTCATGGTGTCTGTGAGATGGGGTGGAAGTGTTCAGTGAGTTAGAGCGGGATGTGTGCGGGCTATGGCTTTCAGTTTGTTAGCAGTGTGATAGTGATGGATGTAGCTGGTGTAATATCTGCTGGTTTCTCTCTTTTATTTCTAGAGCAAAGCTCGTGTTGAAGCCATGACGCTGGATTTAGCTTCCTTGAGGAGTGTCCGAGAGTTTGCCGAGATCTTCAAAGCCAGGAAACTGTAAGTAATAGCAGATACAACAGAATTATAATGCAAGGATGAACTGCTTGTGGAATGAGACGCTGGCTAGGTCATCGTGAAAAGCTTTCCACTGGCTCTGTCCCGAGACCGAACCCCCCCACCGGCTCCATTAACGAACTATCACATCAGAGAAGGGCCAAAGGTCTCCCCTCTTTCATCCCGAGCCCCGTCCCTCTCGCTGGTCAATACACAAGTATCCGCACCTCAGCTATAGCTCCATCAATCTCAGGGATTGGTGAGTCCTTCACAGGCTCCTGGTGAAATCAATGGCTTTCGGGAAGTTCAGCTGCACTGCTGAGAACCGTGAACAGGACTTTACAAGACAAATAATAGAATTTATCATTTCTTTGTTGATTTTTATGTTGCTAATGCTATTAAATAAATTAATAAATAGTTTCATTATTTTGATTATAAATAATATACATCATTATTTATTTTGTATATCTACTCCCATTATATGTTAGTGTATAATTGTTACATACATATCTACATAATAAATAATATACATCATTATTTATTTTGTATATGTACTCCCATTATATGTTAGTGTATAATTGTTACATACATATCTACATACATAAACAGGTATATTAATTAATTTATAGATAATATATTTTATTATTGTTTTATTTTTTTTGTTGCTGATAAATAAATAGATGGATGGATGGACAGATGGATAGATAGATAGATAGATAGATAGATAGATAGATAGATAGATAGATAGATAGATAGATAGATAGATAGATGGATGGATTTTCTCTTTCTGTAAATGAAAGGTTTTCTTGGTTAGATTATCCTGGACTAATTAAAATTCCCTTGAACAGTATTGATTATAGTGTTATCAGTTATTAATTATTATTATATTACAAAACGTTATTTAATATGATGTCAAGACAAAACATTTAATAGGTTCAGTGTGTCTCGCATGCCTTCTATTATCATATCAATACAGCGTTTTTTAATCTGTAAACATTCATTAGTTTGTGATGGTGAGCTGCAGTGATCAGTAATTAGGCTAATGAGGCATAATTATGATTTAATATAGACGTGTCTAGAATATTGTCTTTGCTCTGTGAGAACTGTATCCGTTCAGATGTAGTTCCTTATGCTGTAGTTTTCAGGAAAAGAAGTGTGAAGTATTGATTATATTGAAAAAATAATAATAATAGTAACTTGTTGTTTTATCATTAATGAAGTGTTATTGGTGTTTTCATGCTGCTTAAATCAGGGAAATCGTCGTCTGAATGACTGTTTTGAGTCGGGCTTTATCCCAGTCCTGGTTCTTGCTCGCTTGCTCTTATGTGGAGTTCCTCAGTGTTCCTGCGGCCGAGCCTCGACCTTCACCGCTCCCTCAGTCCACAGTGAGTGTGTGTGAGTGTAGAGGTGACGTATGTGTGGGGGTGTCCCGGGCCCTCGGGGGCCTGCAGGACTCATCTGGCCCCCGGCCGGCCCCGGGGCACGACAGCAGCAGAGCTTGGTCAGCAGCCAGAGTCCTGGAGGTGACCCCCCCCCCCCCCCCCCCCCCCGTCCTCCTTCAGTCACCGCTACTTTCTTAAACACTTAATGGCTGACTGAGGACCTCTGAGCAGTTTTCACAAGTGACCCTGAGAAAGATGTGTGTTTTTGGGCCCTAAAGGCTAGATAGGTGCCCTGCCTAAAGCCTAGTTAGGTGCCCTGCCTAAAGCCTAGTTAGGTGCCCTGCCTAAAGCCTAGTTAGGTGCCCTGCCTAAAGCCTAGATAGGTGCCCTGCCTAAAGCCTAGATAGGTGCCCTGCCTAAAGCCTAGATAGGTGCCCTGCCTAAAGCCTATATAGGTGCCCTGCCTAAAGCCTAGATAGGTGCCCTGCCTAAAACCTAGATAGGTGCCCTGCCTAAAGCCTAGATAGGTGCCCTGCCTAAAGCCTAGATAGGTGCCCTGCCTAAAGCCTAGATAGGTGCCCTGCCTAAAGCCTAGATAGGTACCCTGCCTAAAGCCTAGATAGGTGCCCTGCCTAAAGCCTAGATAGGTGCCCTGCCTAAAGCCTAGATAGGTGCCCTGCCTAAAGCCTAGTTAGGTGCCCTGCCTAAAGCCTAGATAGGTGCCCTGCCTAAAGCCTAGACAGGTGCCCTGCCTAAAACCTAGTTAGGTGCCCTGCCTAAAGCCTAGATAGGTGCCCTGCCTAAAGCCTAGATAGGTGCCCTGCCTAAAGCCTAGATAGGTGCCCTGCCTAAAGCCTAGTTAGGTGCCCTGCATAAAGCCTAGATAGGTGCCCTGCCTAAAGCCTAGATAGGTGCCCTGCCTAAAGCCTAGTAGGGGTGGGAATCTTTGGTCACCTCACGATCCGATCCGATTCCGATTCTGGGAGTCACGATCCGATTCCAGAACGATTCTTTATCTACCTCCCTCCCCCCTCCCCCTCATTAATTCATTAGTTTACATAACTAATTAAGTACTTTTTTTAAAATATTTTTTTTTTTTTTTTTATTAAAACAGTTGTATGTTAAGAATTTTAAACTAATATAACTAATATAACAAATAATAAAGAGGAGTATAGAAAAATATAACAAACAACAAACAAAAAGTGCTTTCAGTAGCCTATAGATTATCTGAACTTTTTCCATTCAAGAACTGTGAGTGATTTTTCTTCATCTTTACTGTTGTTTTTTACTATGACATCATAGACTGCGGAAGATCTATTAAGCTGCATTCACGCACGCATCTCTTTTGAAATAAAAGAAGTAATACCGTGTGTCCTGTCCGTTTAATCCCTTAAGACATAACTGGCTGTGTTTACGTTAATTTTGCACAAGTACATTAAACCACTACACGGAGTCGCACAGCCGCATGCGCGAGCAGTCTCACAAACAAAGCGCGCGTCAGCATTTGAAATTGAAAGCAGCCTTCTGTTAGTGAGGTTCATATTTTAAATATAAAGTCCACTGCATTCCAAACCACATAAATGATGACTTCGTAGAGCATTTGTAAGGAAAATACCGACGGGCGAGACAGCACACTTCAAGTGTAACATCAAAGAAAGCGCGCGTCTCTCACAGCGTATCCTGTGCAATGAAGCCTGTGAATGTCCTTGTAATTCGCTTCAACCTTTCCGAACTTTATGAAAGATTATTTTACGGAAGGTTCGAGTGGTGTATGTGTGTGAGGAATTGGAAGCAAGCAGAATACGGTTGTTTCTAAAGCAAACTCAACGTCATCGCACATCTGGTTAAAAACTAAGCTCAGAATCGATTCTGGAATTCTCAGAATCGATCCAGAATCGTTGGAGAAAGAATCGCGATGCATCGATGGATCGATTTTTTCTCCCACCCCTAAAGCCTAGTTAGGTGCCCTGCCTAAAGCCTAGATAGGTGCCCTGCCTAAAGCCTAGATAGGTGCCCTACCTAAAGCCTAGTTAGGTGCCCTGCCTAAAGCCTAGATAGGTACCCTGCCTAAAGCCTATATAGGTGCCCTGCCTAAAGCCTAGATAGGTGCCCTGCTTAAAGCCTAGTTAGGTGCCCTGCCTAAAGCCTAGATAGGTGCCCTGCCTAAAGCCTAGATAGGTGCCCTGCCTAAAGCCTAGATAGGTGCCCTGCCTAAAGCCTAGTTAGGTGCCCTGCCTAAAGCCTAGATAGGTGCCCTGCCTAAAGCCTAGATAGGTGCCCTGCCTAAAGCCTAGATAGGTGCCCTGCCTAAAGCCTAGTTAGGTGCCCTGCCTAAAGCCTAGATAGGTGCCCTGCCTAAAGCCTAGATAGGTGCCCTGCCTAAAGCCTAGTTAGGTGCCCTGCATAAAGCCTAGATAGGTGCCCTGCCTAAAGCCTAGATAGGTGCCCTGCCTAAAGCCTAGTTAGGTGCCCTGCCTAAAGCCTAGATAGGTGCCCTGCCTAAAGCCTAGATAGGTGCCCTGCCTAAAGCCTAGTTAGGTGCCCTGCCTAAAGCCTAGATAGGTACCCTGCCTAAAGCCTATATAGGTGCCCTGCCTAAAGCCTAGATAGGTGCCCTGCTTAAAGCCTAGTTAGGTGCCCTGCCTAAAGCCTAGATAGGTGCCCTGCCTAAAGCCTAGTTAGGTGCCCTGCCTAAAGCCTAGATAGGTGCCCTGCCTAAAGCCTAGATAGGTGCCCTGCCTAAAGCCTAGATAGGTGCCCTGCCTAAAGCCTAGATATGTGCCCTGCCTAAAGCCTAGTTAGGTGCCCTGCCTAAAGCCTAGTTAGGTGCCCTGCCTAAAGCCTAGTTAGGTGCCCTGCCTAAAGCCTAGTTAGGTGCCCTGCCTAAAGCCTAGATAGGTGCCCTGCCTAAAGCCTAGATATGTGCCCTGCCTAAAGCCTAGATAGGTGCCCTGCCTAAAGCCTAGATAGGTGCCCTGCCTAAAGCCTAGATAGGTGCCCTGCCTAAAGCCTAGTTAGGTGCCCTGCTAAAGCCTAGATAGGTGCCCTGCCTAAAGCCTAGTTAGGTGCCCTGCCTAAAGCCTAGATAGGTGCCCTGCCTAAAGCCTAGATATGTGCCCTGCCTTAAGCCTAGTTAGGTGCCCTGCCTAAAGCCTAGTTAGGTGCCCTGCCTAAAGCCTAGATAGGTGCCCTGCCTAAAGCCTAGTTAGGTGCCCTGCCTAAAGCCTAGTTAGGTGCCCTGCCTAAAGCCTAGATAGGTGCCCTGCCTAAAGCCTAGATAGGTGCCCTGCCTAAAGCCTAGATAGGTGCCCTGCCTAAAGCCTAGTTAGGTGCCCTGCCTTAAGCCTAGATAGGTGCCCTGCCTAAAGCCTAGATAGGTGCCCTGCCTAAAGCCTAGATAGGTGCCCTGCCTAAAGCCTAGATAGGTGCCCTGCCTAAAGCCTAGTTAGGTGCCCTGCCTAAAGCCTAGATAGGTGCCCTGCCTAAAGCCTAGATAGGTGCCCTGCCTAAAGCCTAGTTAGGTGCCCTGCCTAAAGCCTAGATAGGTGCCCTGCCTAAAGCCTATATAGGTGCCCTGCCTAAAGCCTAGATAGGTGCCCTGCCTAAAGCCTAGTTAGGTGC